AAAAAAAAAAAAAAAAAAAAAAAAAAAAAAAAAAAAAAAAAAAAAAAAAAAAAGAGAGAGAGAGAGAGAGAGTTCAGATTAATCGAGTATCTTGGGAATCGAATTGATTTTGCCCTAACATTTGGGGGGAATTGCAGAAAACAAGTCTATGACAGGTAGCATTGCATACATACCATCGCCGACGGGACGTGCTCTCTCTCTTCTGTCATCGAAGAAAGAAACATGGGCGACCTCATCGGAGCTGTCGCTGAGGTCGAGTGCAGCACTCCGAGAACTGATAGCGGAGAATCGCGCCGCCATTCTCGCTCGTCAGCTGATTCTGGACAGAGATTGGCACTTGAACCACGCGGCGGCGACGGATGATTTCGGAGGAGGCGGCGTTGGATTCCATCAGCAGCAGGGGTTGTATTGCGAGCAGCAGCAACAGAGCTGGGAGGGGATGAATGAAAATGGCGGTGCGCACGTGACGCTGGACCTGATGCAGGCGCCGAGCACCGCGTTTGGGATGCTGTCCGTGAGAGGGAAATCGAAGGAAGAAGATGAAGAATGTTGCGAGTTATGGAACTCCTTTCACGATCACGATTCTCACGTTGTTTAGAAGTATATTATAATTATAGAGATGTATGTGTAGTCCTCTTAAGTGGAACCACGAACATTTGGTAACTGTACAATTCTTTGTTTTCCCGCCCATTTTCTTCCCTTTATTGTAATTTTATCGTAGAGCTCAGCAATTGTAGAGTACCTTTCATTTTTTAAAATGGCTACTACTGGTGTTTTATTTACTCAACTATGTTTGGATACATTTACTGTTTTATCCATCATTGAATTAAATTTTACATTTGTATTAGATCATTAGATGTGTTTAAACACCTTAGACTATATAGATTAGATACTCATTTTTGTAAGACCTTGCCTCTTATACTACACACTAACTATTATTAAAAAGAACCACAAACCAAATCCAGAAAGGCACTAATCCTATTTTTATACTTCCTTCTCTTATTCCAACGCTAACTTTCCAGCTCATGAACTATGCATATCCTAAATTTTGGCATGGAAGCAAGATAACTCTTATATTCGAGGGGAATTTAATTAAGCATGGATCTTGTAATGCCAAAACTTTTGAGCTTATAACTCTTGTAAATAAAGCAAACGCCGTGTTTCAATGGGATAAAAGAAGGCCAAAATCGTAATGCAGGTATAGTAACACATGTATGTAAGAATCCAGTAGGCTATATAAGACTATCACACAAGTCCAGAGTCCTATCAGTTCAGACTAAATTCTCACATATTACTACTCCAAGCACCTAAACAGACTTGGATATAAAGTTCAAAACTGTCACAGAAGCAAACACTTGGAGATATGATCTATTCTAAATCTACCCATCACGCACAATTATACTAGTAAATACAGTAAAAAGTGATAAAGAATGTACTTGCGTTTTCCACACATGAATGAGAATCAGTCCTCCATCCAAGTCACAGCAAAGGTAGAATTTTCCAAGCATCAGCAACAAGGGTCCTGGATGAACTCAATGCCCACCTCCTCATTCATATTGGAGTAGGAATGGCAAAATCATTTTGGTTTGTCTGTCAATGTCACTAATGACTTGAGCACCCCCGGACTGATCTTGTCAGCAAGGGCACCTTTTTCTGAAATCAGAAGGGACTGGTCTTTTACATAACTCTGTAATTTCTTTGCCTCAAAGTCAAGTTTCGACTGATCTGCCATGTGAAAGGGATACAGACCAGAAACAATAATTCAACTGTCAAAATAAAGGGAAAGCTCCACAAAGTCCAAGTGAATGAAATGAACGTTCCCAGAGAAAATTATAGGCTGACTATTGTATTCTTTAAAAGGGAGTCCAGTGAACACGGAAATGCATATGTTTCAATGAAGTCTAATATATTATCTCTTAAAGAGTCATGCACTAATAAATGACATAAAATTAATAGCATGAAAAAAAAAATCCCATCAATAACCTGTCTCCAAGATTGTATGAGCAGCATGAAATGGTACCCTGGCGAACACATCAGTTCCTGGGAACATCATCCATGTGCGCTCATTAGAATCGTGATTCCCGCAGGTAGTGCAAATCTCTTTCACCAATGGCCTTGATTCAGAACCCCCCACCTCCCTCATTATTGACTCAAAAGGCGATGGAACACTAGACTTTGTTGTCCTTGCTCGCCTCCTCAAAGCAGTCAATGCTTCTCTATTCCCATTTCTCACTCTATCGTTTTCAACCAACTGAAATTTTAACGCCAAACAACAGTGGTTACTTTACCTTTTTTAACTCTCAAAGATAGAGAGAAGTTTCATTTCAATGATAGACAAATTTTGACACTGCAATTTCAATTTAAGTGGCAAAGAGCGTATATTGCGAGGAGGAAATACAAGTAATCTTGTAAGCCAAGTTGCCAAACTTCAAATATTTTTAAGCTTACTTCGTTGCGGGCTACAAGGAGACGCTCTGCTTCAGCTTCTAGCTCAATTAAGCTCTGTTGAAATTGTCTCATCGTCTCATTCATTTTTTCCAACCTAAAATTCACTCTGAGACATCGTCAATAACGTCCAAACATGTAATATACAGAGAGAATCTTTCAGACTCCCAAAACAAATATGAAGAAATGAAAGTTGTCACTGAGAGAGAGCGAGAGCGTGTCATGTTCACACAGACAAACAAGAATTATCGACTTCTAGAGACAACTTGTGCCACTATCAAAAGAGGGCTTCCAATTACCGACACACTTCATAGTTCTGTAGCAGAATTTCTATATTTATAAAATGTATCCATAGCTATATTGAGAAAATCGTTTTTCCTCTAAATTTATAATCTATATCCACACTATCTATAAAAGTGGCTATAAGGGATGATTTTTTAGGTCCCTTTAATTCCTCTACTTCTAAATATTTTCTATAACTTTCTAAATCAAGTACATGAAGTAGAAGCCATATAGACGGCTCCTATTTCCAATAAATTCGAAGTATCACTGGAGATGGTATTCATAACATTTTTATTTTTCAAAAAATACTCGTTGTTTTCTTCTAACTATATCCCACAAACATAAATTGACGGTCGCGTGAACGAGGCAGTATTCGGTATATACCGAAGAGATATCAAAACGCAGTTCGAGAAGTGTCAATGAGCCATGATCCCGTTTATTTTTTCGTTTCTATCGAAAAAAAAATGAATGAAGAAAGATTGAAAAGAAACGAAAAAACGAAACAAACGAAAAAAAATCAAAACAACGCCTCCATTCTTTATTTAGACAAGTCCTAATATGAGTTTTTCAAGTGGGAGAGAAGAAGTGGATAGAGATTGAAAATTCACCAGTGAGGAAAAGGAAATTAGGGCAAACCCGGCAGCACTGAACCGGAAAGATGCGACGGCGAAACTGAGCTGCTGAAAGAGAGGAGGAGACGGCGAGAGAAGAAAATATTGAGGACGTGGGAGGCGAGCGGAAGCTGAATGGGTCTTTATGCTTCCCTTCTCTCTTAAATAATTACCTTGATTCTATTTTTAAAAGAATTATATTTGATTTATTTAATTTCAAATTTAAATTATCAATTATTATGACAATTTTTTAATTATGTACTTGTAGAACAACAAACAAGTTTTAATTATGTACTTGAAGATCAACCAGAAGGTAGGTATGATGGTTGAATTACACGCATGTTGGCAATGAGATTTAGAAAGTATATTCAATCAAAGTGAATACAATTGAGGAAGTAAAGTACTCTGTAGAGGAGTAGATTAGGTAGGAGAGCATTTGCAGTCCTGGGATCCTCCTATAACAACACACCCAACTTCAGATCGCATCAAATAATGAACACTGCCCATAATTTTCTGTACGATTTCCAGAACTTATTGAAGAAAGGAAGCCAAATTAATATATGACTAAACGACTTATTGAAGAAGCTAAACCACGACTCAAATAGCACAAACAAACACCATATCAACCAAGGCATGAATAAGCCAGAGCCTTCTCCTCGATCAGTTCTTTTGCTGTTGCATCCATCTTCGCTCTTGAAAACTCATCAATCTTCAGCCCTGTAGTTGTAATAGAAACCCTTTAATAATAATACACACTTCCATTCTAACTTTCATCCTTCTCATGTTCCATGTTAAATGAACGCATAAATATCCAGTCATTAACTTCCTCGACCCTTGACCCAGAAAGAAAGAAGCTTACCCTGGACGATTGACCATTCTCCCTTCTCACATGTGACTGGAAAGGAGTAGATAAGACCACGTTCTATACCATAAGAACCATCGGAGTACACTCCCATGGAAACCCAAGTTCCCTAAGTGATGGATGCAACGAAGCAGATAAAATGTCAGCCAAAAGGTTAATTAAAAAAAAAAAAAAAAAAAAAATTCGTGATCAAATGCTATTTTAAGGATGAACCTTGCGGGTCCCCAGAACCCAGTTGTTTATATGATCACAAGCAGCACTGGCAGCAGACAGTGCACTAGAAAGTTTTCGAGCCTTTATAATGGCAGCACCACGCTGCTGTACGGTGCTAATAAACTCGGTATTCAACCTTCAAAATTAATCAGCAATTGAAAGTTAGAACAGAAAACATATCATCTTTTTTAAGTTTTTCTCCCTGCTTTGGACGAACTAAAGTAAATCTTCTTTCAGAGGAAAGAAGAGCAAGCATCTTCTATAAGATATGTAGATGTGGTCAAAGTTGTAATGTTACCACTGATCATCTGCAACCAATTCTCGAACTGGTTTCTCTCCACTGCTAGTGGTGACTTTTGCATGATTGACATCTGGGTACTGTGTAGAAGAGTGATTGCCCCAGATAATGACATTCGACACATCACTAACTTGCACCTTTAGCCTCTCAGAGATTTGGCCTAATGCTCGGTTATGATCCAATCGTGTAAGACATGTGATGTTCTTCTCCGGGATTGAAGGTGCAAACTCTTTCAAGATGAGAGCATTTGTGTTGGCTGGGTTGGCCACCACTAATACCTGTATAATTAATGCAATTCCTTCAATAAAATGGAGTGAAAGGAAATCAACTATAGCTCTAAAGCGATGTTAATAGTATTGCCAATAAGAGCTCGTTTGTTAGCAAAGTTGTCAAGCAATGGGAGAGGGAGCATTGTTAAAAGAGGAAGAGGCGTAGATGAGGTAGGCAAACGCTAGGAACTAAATTGTAGCTTGGGGGTGGAGGGGTGGAGGGGTGATGAAGATGGAAAACTATCCAAATATGATGATATACCGATTTGTATATTTTCAGAAAATATATATAACTTGTATTTTGGAGGCTCCTCACCTTGCAATCTGGAGCAGCATGCTTCTCCAAGGCTGAAGCCTGTGCTTTGTAAATGGAGACATTTTTCGACATCACATCCTTCCTCTCCATGCCCTCCTTTCGAGGAAAACCACCAACCATAACTGCAATATTGACCCCCTTACACGCTTCAACAGCATCGGTTGTAGCAACAACACCTGCTTGGGCATAGTACACAAAGTTCAAAACCCACAAAAGCTTATCGCCCAAAGAAAGACAAGATTTTACTAAAAACATACCCTTTAGCAGAGGAAAGGCAGCATCTATTAATTCCATTCTTACACCGTTCAAAGCCTCAGCTGCAGGCTCAATATCAAGCATGTGCAGAATTACTGGCTGATCAGGGCCTAGCATGACCCCTCTTGCAATCATTGGAACAATTGCATAACCAATTTGCCCTGTACGACGAAGGGAAGGTAGAATTAATGTGGCTTGGCTCAAATACGCAAACTGCTTGCTAAACTTCTGAGAATAAGATACTAAATTTCCTTTCATAGTTCAAATTCTTGAGATACTTGGGGTATGCATTCAAGTGAAAATGGAAATGAAGAAATAAGACAACTAGAGAAAGAACCGGCATGATCAACATCAATTTGTGCAGCGTAAGGATTTCAAAATGGATGCAGCAATCAGCAAAATCGAACAATTCAAAATATGTATGCAAATTCAAAAATACTCATAAAAATGAAATAGTAATAAGAATCAAACTTTTATTCTTAAAATATAGTAAAAAGAGAAACACGAAAAACAAACGGTCCCCAAGTAATATCAACCATAATAGCTATACACGAAAGAAGATAATGCAAAGCCGAAGAAGAACTAAACATGCCTGCGGCCCCAGTGATTAGAACTCTCACTGGTTCCTTCTCCATGTTCACAAAACTCAACATATGCCTTATGAGCTTCCAGAAAAACGCGATGGTAAACGAAACAAGAGCAAATTTCTGAAACAGTTCGAATTGCTCCATTTTTCTCTCAATCGAAAGGATCCAAAAACAATTTCTGCTAACAATCAACACAAATCTCAACTATCCCTCCAGAATTTGAAGGAGAGCATCACTCGCAGAGAAGCAAGGAATCGGCGGACACAACCCACCCACGCCATACTAAAACTAGTCAACATGCAAGGCAGAATCATGATGGTGTCCAGATTCCCAATACAAGAATTCGAATCTTCCGTTCTTTTAACAAACCAACGAAATCGACAGCGAAAAAACAGACATTATTCTACTCAGCGATGCGAAGCAGAGAGATACATCAAGACTTTGCTACATTATCACGCAACCCAGGCATATCCAAGTATTGCATTAAATTGAAAGAAATGAAAAACTGAAAGAATGTAATAATACCAGCAGCACCGGTGACGAGGACTCTAAGAGGATTATTGGCCATTGTTGCAAAGATAAATGAGTGAGATCGGCGAGGGAGGTGGATACAAGGAAGTGGAATATAAATGGGTACATATATAATAACAGAATAGCAGAGAATCGTGGAGAAGGACGAGGGCAATGGAAATGGAAAGAAGAATTGCGGCAATCGAGGACATGGATAACTGTCCACAGATCATGTGTAGCCATGCAAGATGCGATTATGGGCATTTTATGAAGCACAAAGATGACGTTTTTGCTACATTTTTCAATTATACTCCTTTTAAAAAGAATGTTCCATTATAATTTTTATTCATTTATAAATTTGTTTCGAAACAATCAATTTCATGAAAATATGTTTTATTCATGACGCAAAAAGTAAAATAGGGTTAGGATTGAAAAAAAAATCATAAATAAAATAGCAAAAAGGTGGAGGTAAGAAAGATGAAAGGAAGAAGGGGAATTAAACTTTTCTTGGGAGTGTTAAACTTTTCATAAATAAATATATATATTAATTAGTGTTAGAGCTCATCTCACTTTGGTTGAAGAGGAAAATTAAACTTTTGTGGAAACCACATTTGGAGTTGGAATCTCCACAGGAGGTGAATGTGAGATCTCACGTCAGTGGAAGAAGAACGAAATATTATTTACAAGGGTGTAGAAACCTCTTCCTAATGAATGCCTTTATTTCTTATAAAGGTGTGGAAACGTATTTTTAATAGACGCATTTTAAAACGGTAAAACTGATGACGATACGTGATGGGTCAAAATGAATAATATCTATTAGTGGCGTCAAAAATGGGTTTGGTGGAGGTGGGAGTCCATCAATCAATTAAAAGTTTCTCTCGAGGCTGAGTTTGTGAGGAAAAAATTGAGGTTCTTGTGGGTGTGTGTGTGTGGGTGGGGGGCTAGATGTCATGCATATTGGGTGTGGATGGTAAGTTGGGATTTGGTTTTATGGTTCACCTCACCAACTTCTCTCCAAGAAAAAGTGGGTAATGCAATGCCCCATTTAAGTTCTCCCAATCTCTCCGATTTGATTCATTCAGGTCTTTACACACACCCTATACTCTTCTTGTTTAAGCTCCCAAGTATGTCAAAAACGAGTTGTGAGGGGTCAGCTATGCTCCATCATGAACGGGCAAGGCGCGCTCCAACGCCAGGGAAGGCAGCCATCCTTGCAATAGGCAAGGCATTTCCTAGCCAACTCGTTCCTCAAGAATGCTTGGTGGAGGGCTACATTCGTGATACAAAATGCGATGATGCAACTGTGAAGGAAAAGTTGGAGCGTTTATGTAAACATGTTGCATTGAATATATTGATAAAAGCATTCTCTTTAACCGCTTTTCAAATATCATTTTCGTAAGCATGCAGCTAAGCTCTCTTTATTCTCATCCCAGGCAAAACGACCACTGTGAAGACGAGATACACTGTCATGTGCAAAGAGATCTTGGATAAGTATCCCGAGCTTGTAACAGAGGGCTCACCCACCATTCGACAGAGGTTGGAAATTGCTAACCCTGCAGTTGTTGAGATGGCCACTGAAGCTAGCAAAGCCTGCATTAAGGAATGGGGGAGGCCTGTGGAAGATATCACCCACATTGTCTATGTTTCTTCTAGTGAAATCCGCTTGCCCGGTGGGGATCTTTACATTGCCAGTCGGCTTGGTTTGAAGAACGATGTTGGTCGGGTGATGCTGTATTTTCTAGGCTGTTATGGTGGTGTCACTGGCCTCAGGGTTGCCAAAGACCTAGCAGAAAACAACCCAGGAAGCCGCATTTTGTTGACGACGTCTGAGACTACAATACTCGGATTTCGTCCCCCAAACAATGCACGCCCATATGACCTCGTTGGGGCGGCACTTTTTGGAGATGGAGCTGCAGCTGTGATCATTGGAGCAGACCCTGTGGCGGGGCAAGAGTGTCCTTTCATGGAGCTGAACTATGCCATCCAGCAATTCTTGCCAGACACCCACTATGTGATTGATGGCAGGCTCTCTGAGGAGGGTATAAATTTCAAACTTGGCAGAGACCTTCCACAGAGAATAGACGACAACATAGAGGGCTTCTGCAGAAAGCTGATGGGAAAGGGAAAGCTGGTGGATTTTAACGAGTTGTTCTGGGCAGTCCATCCTGGTGGCCCAGCAATTCTGAATAAACTAGAGAGAACTCTGAGGTTGAAAAGCGAGAAGCTGGAATGCAGCAGAAAGGCATTGATGGAGTATGGGAATGTTAGCAGCAACACCATCTTCTATGTGATTGAGAAGATGAGGGAGAAGCTGAAGAGGGAGGACGGGGAAGAATGGGGTCTGGCGTTGGCATTTGGACCGGGCATTACCTTCGAAGGCATTCTCATTCGTAGCCTCTGATGGCTGTAGCCCCCCGCCGCGCCGGATGCTTTGCGATCTGGAGAAACCCACGGAAAACAAAATGTGCTTCTTTTAACTTTTACTGTAACTGAAAACGCGTTTAGCTTTAGATTAAACAACGTTCATTCTGAATTTGGAAACTATGTTGGATCGTGAATGATGAAGCTGAGTGCAAATTTTAATTCACTTTATATATATATTAATTTGAAAATTTAGGGAAAAATAGTACAAAGTCGCCAACAAATGAGGACAGATGTCGAAAGGACCATTAACCAATCAATTTCAAATGTAATATATTACTTTTTCCTACAATTTTCACTTCATAATTTCTCCTTCTCCAGACTCCAAATCTTTTAGAGCAGCGGAGGCCCCGCCCAATCCACGACTTACCTCCCGCGTAAATCATTTGCCTCGCGGCAGTCTCGAATCTCGATCCAACCCCCATTCGTGATTTTCCATTGCGTCACTGGATTTCAATTCGTTTGTTCGGAAAGCTTATTTGGATTTCTACATCCGTCTTACTTCTTCAGCCCAAATCAACCACGAAGGCGCCCTTTTCAAGGATGAGGGAATGCGGGAATACGAAACGAGGGGAATCAGGCAATCCATCTGCGGTAAGTTATGCGTTACGTGAATCGTCCTGCTTTTCTTGCTTCCTGCTATTTATGCCATCTTTATGGTTTTAATTCCCCCCAGAAGTTTAAGATTTTGTGAACTCGTAAATACTGTCAGCTGCACCAGATCGTTTAGTTTATAGGAGTTTACTGTATTTATTTTTGCCGTTTTGAAATTATCAATTGATATGGCAGTTTAGTGTTGATAGATTTAGGATTGTTTATAATCTTCGCATTTCTAAATTCCTTTGGAAGTTTTGGAGCGTTTGAAACTTCGAAGTTAAGAAGCAAACGAGGTTATGAAATGTTTCACTTACTGGAATGGAACTACATTGCAAGTGTATCTATTTGCGAGCTCCTATAGAAACTTTGTGACAATACATAAACAATGCGTTAAGTTCCATATAAATTGCAGCAATCATCATGGAAAACTGCAATTCGAAGCTTCCTGTACATTATGTCATTCATTAAGCTAGAATCATTTTGGAAACTTATAAAACAAGAGGCTCTTATTTTTATTTCTGCCTGTCTTGAAAGGTTTATAACCAGAGACTCTTGCAGGAAAGAGAATATAATCGAAATCAGAAATCTGGAAGAAGAAGATTACTTCATAATTCTTGATGGAAGTTGGTTTCCCGTAAAAAACGATACAACTTAAAAGCAGGGGCCAAACATGAAGATAACTATGAAGAAATGTGGAATTTCTATCGATGGATGAGTTAGTTTCTTGGAAATCTAGCTTAGACCATTGGCATCATTATTCCTTCTCGAAATCAACGTCACAAGAAATTAATTATTGAAAAATTAACTTATCTTCTCATTTATGAGACATCATAAGTGGTTTAAATAACATATAATGCCTCTTCAAGAAGTCTTAAGAGAAATTCAGGATTGTTGGCATCTTTTTACTCCTTTGTGAAATATTTTACTTCTACTGATGATGTATTTGTTTTTTCCTTAGTAAAATTGTGTGCCACAAGTATGAATGTAAAGCAGGAAATGCTTGTTTTGTGCGTATGACTGTTTGTATTTAAACATGATAAAAAGCTTATCCTACTTTTCGGCTGATGGTAGGATACGGTCTTTCTTTGTGTTACCTGATACTAAGTTTTTGGTGGCTGATGTGTTATCTGCTATTGGAACTTACTACCTGCATGGTTCACTGTTTTTTTTTTCATATATATAGCCTCTGAACAATTTCTCTTTCTCAGGAAGACAATGATAGTCTGATTGAGGGCCTTATTCCTCAGCTATTTACTTCTGTATCGGTTCTCAACGAGGCTGCTTCTTATGTGGCACAAACAACTTCATACTTTACTGGCTGTTTTTCTGATTCTTCTGGTATTTATCTTTCCGTTTCTTTTGTGTTTCTCTTATTGTTTTCATCTCTTCAACAACCTTCATCTTATGTCGTTCTTGAATTTACCTTCTTCTGCATGTGTCTTCTACGACAAATTACTCCATTAGTTTGAAACTTTTACAACCTTTTCAAATTTTGTTCATTTGGTTGTTGGTTGATCTGTTGACTTAGAACCTTCTACAATCTGCTTGTACATGTGTCTTTTTTTGTTTTTTTAAAAATTATTTTATTATTAAAAATAATTCTCCATGTCCTGGTTCATTCTTTTCTTCGTTTTTGTTTACTTTATGGATATTTTTATAGTTTCTTTTACTCGTTACTTTTCTATCATTGTTTATTATAATGTTTTCAATTTAACCAAGCCTGGATCTAGAAGTGCGAATGATATTTGGATCTAGAAGTGCGAATGATATTATGTCTTACTTTTTTATTAACCACTGGTTTACATTTCCATCCATTCTCGCTACTTGGATTTATTTGTCTTTATTAGTATTTTTCTTGTGTGCTACTAATTTGGTGACAGTTTTATGGTGATTTGGTCTCAGTTGACCCTGGGCTTAGAGACCCTAGGAGTTCTGCATTACATGAAGAGGAATTAGTGACGTTTTCTTCCAGAGAGTCTGCAGTAACGACAGCCAGAACTAATGGAAATCAAAACTCTAGTGCTACACAATCAATAATTTCTGAATCAGATGTAGCTGCAATTGCTGCTCCCCCTGTATATACTGAAGTTTCAAGGACCAGAATTGAAGAACCATCTGGCCATAGTGGTGGTCTCCAGTTGTCAAATAACACTGGTCGGAGTGGCATGTCAATTTTTCAAGGGTATTGTTCCGAATTAAGCTGAAATATATGTACCAAATGAGAATTTTAGGGGTGGACTAGTTTTTGTCTAGTTTGATACGTATAACTTAACTCCTTTGTTTTGTTTGTTTCATTTGTAATGCTCAATCTTATTCAGCCTTATTGATCGAGCTTTGAGGACAGTACGCGGATCTGCAGATGATATAGGGTGGCTTCAAAGTGCATCTGGAATGCCTTCGGTTGAAGATGGAACTGATAGGTTTATGGAAATTTTGGAAGATATCAGGTACTACGAGTGATAGCTACTGCTGCTGCTTTTGTACTAGTTATCTGGCATAAATTTACAGTGTGGCCTCACTTTTCTTTCTGTCAGGCATGGTATTCACAAAGTACCTAATTCAGTGGTTTACTTGCTGGTTCCAGGTAAATTTTGTTAGTTAATATTTGACAATGCATGTGAACTGGGCATCTGTCGATCATTTGGCCAAACTAAGTTGCAATCTTATGTTAATGAAAATATACAGGCAATAAAGCTGTTATGAACTTCGATTCTTTTTAAGTGATCAAATACAGTATTTGTCGACTTGTAGTCATGTTATCATACGAGGAACTATATCTCATACCTCCCTTTGGTCATCAAGGCAAGGTGACCAAATCCTAGATTCGGAAACACGAAATTTGAACTGTTCATGACGTAGAATTAAAAGTGGGAAGATTGAATCATTAAAAGTTTGAGGTTTTGGAACAAAGTTTAATTATAGATAGAAGTGTCAAATTGAATTTTGATTGGACTTGCCAGATCTAGTTTTAAATCCTTGGTTTCTTTGTTGTAATTCAATTTTAACATGCAGTAAGGGAACACTTTTTTAAACAATTTTTTTGCTTTAGATGCTTTAGTGGTTTGCTTGGAAACATACTTACCTGGTTCTGCGGCTTTAACTCATGTAACTGGTAGGGCTTTTCAGCAACCATGGACCACTGTATTTTGTTGATACAAAAACGAAATTCTCAAAGATGGGTCTGACCTGTCATATTGCCAAGATTCATAGTGAGGTATTTTGATTTGCTTCAAAGTTCTGACCTTTCTGTATTTTCTCTTCCCATCATGCTAAACAATGAAAAATCTATAATCAGGCTTCAGTGGAGAGGAATGCAAGAGAGATCAAAGACTATGTTGAAGAAATATATTGGGGTTCTGGAAAACGTGTATTAATTCTTGGGCACAGCAAAGGGGGAGTAGATGCAGCAGCTGCCTTATCGTTGTATTGGTCTGATTTGAGAGAAAAAGTTGCCGGCTTGGCATTAGCTCAAAGTCCATATGGCGGTAGTCCAATAGCCTCTGATATCTTGCGGGAAGGACAGCTTGGTGACTATGTGAACGTACGGAAGCTTATGGAGATTTTGATTTGTAAAGTGATGAAGGTATGCATAGGTAAATTGTTTTTCAAGATTCTTTCCTATATTTATTGTGAGTTGAAGTTACAACTTACCTTACAAGTTGATGTTTTTAAAAAGACTTCCTCCCTGTCAGGTAACGCATATGCTAGCTATCTGTGTGTCTGTGTCATGGGCTTTATATATTATCAAATTGGTCTCGTTCTTTTTCAGTAGCTTCTCGTTCCTGTTTGCTAGCATGACTAGTAATATAAAGAAATTTCAGACAGCAGTAGAGGGCAGGGACCCCTTTTATCAATGTTTTTAGAACGATGATTTGTATAGCTTAGATTCCAAAAACGCACTTGATCCACTTGAAATTTGAACCAGAAGAAAAGTCTGATGATCTGTTTGCTTTCTATGCAGGGCGACATGCAAGCTCTCGAAGATTTAACGTATGATAGGAGGAAGAAATTTCTAATGCAGCATCAGTTGCCAGAAGAACTCCCTGTGGTATCATTCCACACTGAAGCCAGCATTTCACCTGCTGTTTTAGCCACCTTGTCCCGTGTTGCTCATGCAGAACTACCAGCCCCACTCTCTACTGCAGAAGCTGCAAAACTCCCCGTAGTGGTACCGCTGGGAGCTGCAATGGCAGCCTGCGCACAGCTGCTGCAGATGCGCTACCGCGAGAAGAGTGATGGACTTGTAACTTGCCGTGATGCTGAAGTCCCCGGATCCACTGTGGTGCGTCCAAAGCGCAAGCTAGATCATGCCTGGATGGTTTATTCGTCTCTCTATGACGACGCTTCCGAAGCAGATGCATCTCAGGTGTGTGAGGCACTTTTGACATTGCTTGTTGAAGTTGGGCAAAAGAAAAAACACGAGTCGACGAATAAGGATGAGTAATAGCATTGACGTCGGCTCTGTTTGCTTCAATTTTTCATCCTCCTAGTATTTTGTGTAGGTGAGAACGGAATTTTTTCTGTATATAATTTGGCTTGAGATATCACTACCTTTGATGGGTCGCGATAGTTACAGTATTATTGAAGCCGCGAGGACTCCGCAGACAGATAGCAACAAATTAGATAGAAAAAATAGGCGATGCTTGAAGAGCAGTAAAAACCATCGTGTATTGGGTCATGTAGACCCACATTGGTGAAGCAGGTTGATCGTTTATGCCTAAATCAGTATTTTTGTAGTTTGACTTTGTTTGTTTATTTTGTGTGCGATGAATTATAAATCTGCTACGAGATTAAAATATATTTATATCAATACAGATAAAAAGACAAAATACAAAATACAAAATTAGTGATTAAAAAATATAATTCGATAATAAAGTTGAAATTACATGGAATCTTGATTGAAAAACTCTGCGAAGGGCAAAATAATTAATACAAATACTGGCCAGCACAATTTTGAGTAAAATATTGAGGAGTATATAAAACAATGCCGACGACAGATTCCAATTCGTGGTTTTCTGTTGCAGATACAATTTCCACTTTCCAGAAATACCCCCAATCCTTCAAAGAATTTCGACGCCATTGGAATTTTGGCCCTGCCAGACCAGTAGACGCACACGACTCCGCATTTTCCCCTTCCATGGAGCGAACACACGGCCACCTCAAACTGGGAGCGAGGCCGCATCAGAACCAGCTTAAGTCCGTCAAATCTTGCCGTTCTCCGAGCTGAGGGTTTTGGAGTTTCATTCTTATTTACAGGTTTTCGCCTTAGTTAGGGTTTGAGCGGCTTAATCAATCATTTTTTTTTATTGGTTTTTGTTGCTTAAAGACGTTGCTAGGTCCTGTGTAAATACTCTTCTAGCTCTAGGATTTTCTGGAGGAATATACTGTCTCGAGGAGGGCTTTGGATTGGAGTAGTGAACAGTGATTAATCTTCTAGAAGCGTGGTCCTCTGAATTAGGGTTTCAAGCGCTTAATCAATCTTTAGAGAGGTTATGTGAGTGGACCTGGTGGCAAGCTCTCGTGGCCTGTGTAAGGGGGAATGGGGAGCACCGTCGAATCAGATAGAAAGCGGCGTCACTTCAGCACCATATCCCCAACCGCTGCTACTGCCAAGAAAGCGCCCTTCTTGCCCATTTCCGAGGACAAAAAGGTATGGTCGTTCAGTTAATTAGTTTCTAACTGATTCGAACTTATTATGCTTCGATATTAGGTTTTGTAAGTCTAACTTGGCCAGCGGTTTCACTTTAGATTATTACGGTTATTGAACATCTTTGCATGTTTAGCTTTTTTTTCTTTTTTCTTTTTTTTTTTCCTCTCTCTAAACTCATATTGACTAGAGATATTGAATTTTCATTTTTTATTTTTTTCCATCTTCCTTTTACGAATCCCAGGCTCAGGACTTTATATCTGCCTAGTCTAGTGTAATCAATTTAAATTTCTGGCGGGTCTTGTTAGAATTGGAGGAAAGTCATCTTCTGAGAAGAAGACCATGAACAACTTCTACTATGTACGAGAATTTCTAATTCTTGACTCATGACTTGTGCATATCTTTAGTGGTGTACGGAGTACAAGAAAATCCAAATTGCTTTTTGATACTCTCTCTAAGGTGGCTTGAGATTTGGAAAAGACGGAGTACAAGAAAATCCAAATTGCTTTTTGATACTCTCTCTAAGGTGGCTTGAGATTTGGAAAAGAGACCTAGCGTTCATATTGAATAATTAAAGAGTTCAAAATATTGCATGTTTTTTCCATTTGGAAAAGAGACCTAGCGTTCATATTGAATAATTAAAGAGTTCAAAATATTGCATGTTTTTTCCTAATTGAATCATATGTTGCAATGTATTAAGTAATTTAGAAGGTGTTAGTTCTTTCAATTGACATAATTCGGTAATTAGCATTCTTTATAAATCTTTATATCTGCCTAGTCTAGTGTAATCAATTTAAATTTCTGTCGGGTCTTGTTAGAATTTGGAGGAAAGGCATCTTCTGAGAAGAAGATCATGAACGACTGCTACTATGTACGAGAATTTCTAATTCTTGACTCATGACTTGTGCATATCTTTAGTGGTGTACGGAGTACAAGAAAATCCAAATTGCTTTTTGATACTCTCTCTAAGGTGGCTTGAGATTTGGAAAAGACGGAGTACAAGAAAATCCAAATTGCTTTTTGATACTCTCTCTAAGGTGGCTTGAGATTTGGAAAAGAGACCTAGCGTTCATATTGAATAATTAAAGAGTTCAAAATATTGCATGTTTTTTCCATTTGGAAAAGAGACCTAGCGTTCATATTGAATAATTAAAGAGTTCAAAATATTGCATGTTTTTTCCCAATTGAATCATATGTTGCAATGTATTAAGTAATTTAGAAGAATGTTAGTTCTTTCAATTGACATAATTCAGTAATTAGCATTCTTTATAAATCTTTGTTATAAACATTGTATTGTACAAATATCTAATTTTCCCTGTCATTGAATTCGTCATGTTGATCTCTCTTCATAGCTTCTAAAATTTCATAAAACTGGATACTTAGAAGACTACCAGTGTGCCGCAATGTCTTTATACCCATGAATGTAAAAATATCCCCACATTTCTGTATGCCCTTGACATGCGTGTGAGATATTTACTTTTGGACAATAAGGTATTAACATGCTCTTATTGGGCATCCGTGTGCAATTTAGGAAAAAACGAGGAAGAGGTTTGTGTGTTGTGTTTATTTGTTGAATTTTATTGAAGTTTTATTTCTCCAACTTTGTTGGTTTAAGATTTTCAACATTGGATATATTTTTTGAATATTTAACGGAGTCTTGAGTTCTAATTCATTCTATTTCTTTTATACTGGGGAAGTTTTGTTTTTGTTTAGTTTATAAATTTTTTGTTTCTGTTTTTGAAAAATCTAACAGTGTCCTTAGCTTGTTGTAAGTCTATTTTGTTTCGTGTTTGGAAGTTTTGACCTGTGAAAGTTGTTTTGCAGTAATTTTATGCTTTCTATATTTTCATTATTTTAACTGGGTTTCACCAGTGGTGGTTTTAGGTGCATTCTTTGGTTTTCTTTCCAAGTGTTTACGGTCATTAGTGCTGTTATCTGGATTTTCATCTCATACCAAAAGTCTTATTTCTCCTGCAAAACGTTGTTATGTTCTAATAATCTGTGCATTTATTCTCTCGATGGTTTCATTTGTTGTTAAGAGGACTCTATACTTGTCAACTTTCATCATCAGATGGAAAAGGGTAATGAATATATAGTTGGATTTTTATTAGTTCTTCCAACTTAATTTGCTTTCGGTAGAAAAGAAAAAAAAGCAATAGCAAAATGACATGCTATTGAATTATGAATCAAGGAAGGACCCCTTCAACATAATGTCTGCATTGAGTGAATGGATAACACCAAAGGCTATGCTGGTCTTTTTCATGATCTGTGTGCATGTTACGATTTAAGAAATTCAAAACTAGGTCCAAACATTTTCCCTCTGTCCTTTGCAGCTTGATGTTGCTGTTCTTCAATACCAAAATCAGAAGCTCATACAGAAATTAGAGGTTCAGAAGGTAGAGTACAAATCTCTTCAGAATAAATATGCTCACTTGAAGGAGAAACAAGAGCCATATGACATGACAGTGGCTGTGGTTAAAAACTGTTGGGAGGAGGTACTTGTTATATCTATCACTGATCATCTTCTAGACATGCCATGTGATCTTTTGAATTTCTTGAAATGTAGTTTATTCATTTTGCAACAGCTTGTTAATGGATTGGAGAAGTCTTCTGTCTGCATGAGAAGGTGGAGGAGCAAGCAGGATGGTGAACAATCAATAGCTGCTGTAGGTGAGGATTTTCATCCTTTATTTGGACCGATTATTCTCATCCTTATATGATTTGTTCATCTGGACATATATATACTTTTTTCCCGGTATCTTGTATAGGTTTCCAACATTCTATTTTTTATTTTTTTAATACCATTTTACCAGTTAATGATTCTGGAACTTTAAATTAGTAGTGTTATGGATCATTGATGAAATTATTTTGGTTTTCATGAGGTTGCCTAGATTTTTAACAAAATGCCTTTCAAGCGATTAGTGAACTGGCCAATGTATTACTTGAAAGAGGAAAATGGTTTTTATTTTTTTATAATTTTTATAGGGAACACGTGGGTATATTAAAAGACACAGAATACAACCTACGGGCAGGGGATGAGAGGGTCCCCTCCCAACAAAACTAATGAGTAACAGCCTGCCAGTCATGAAGAATGAGGAAGAGGCTGTAAATGCCTAAAAAAAGGGATTGAAAGAAACTAGAAATACAAGGCTTTTTGTAAGGTTAATTGGAGCGTTTTTTAATAACTCTCTTTGTAGTGGTACATTTATATGTATAGAGTGTCCAGTATCCTGATATTTTACATCATCAGTGAAATATTGTTTCCTATACACACACACATACACACACACACACACACACACACACACACACACACACACACAAAAGGTAAGAGGCTCTCTATAGGGAAGTGCACAAGCTGGGGTGAGGTTCTAAAAATTTTTATTAGTTTCATGCTTGTTGGTGTATGCTTTTCAATTCTCTTGTTATTATAGTCCCGTTGTATTTAGTCTACTGGTCTTGAAATTATTATAAGACGTTTGAGTAACAAAGATGGTCTGCATGTTCTGTTGGTTTCTTGTCTCTTTTAACAGAAACGAATCTCTGCTCATTTTTGTATCTTGGTCCATGGTTTTGCTAGTTATTATTTATGAATGCTTAATATTTCTTAATGGCTTTCTAGATGGATCCTCGTCTAGCTTTGAAAATGCTGTTCTTAGTCGGCTGGCAGAAACAGGTGCTACTCAAAGTTCCTCATCTTATAGTTCTACTAAGCACATGGAAGAAGAAACAGAATCACCTTGTGAGAAGACCAAAACTATCGAGCGAAATATAGAAGCGTCAATTGAGAATCTCTGGTATCTGAAGGATGGTTTACATGCCACATTGTTGAGTGAGCTCCCAATAGATGGTATGAATAAAAGGACTCCGTGAATGCTTATGTGATAATCTGTATCTGCTGTCGTTCTCTGTTCCATTTAGTTTCTTTCTTAGTTCTCTATACATACTGGTTGTTTTGTTAGATTCATTCAGGAATAGGACATCTGGTGACTTGGTTAAAGAAGTAAGAAATATGAGGTTGAGAGTCAAGGATTTTTTGTTTAAGCAGAAGGTGTTGGCTAAAGAATTGCAGAATCACCGGGACTTGGATGCAAA